CGCATTAACGTACGCGACCCTAGCAGTACGTACGTATGTTCCCTGTTGAATCCACTACTGCGCAGTACGTACGTATGCCGATGCGCGTACGCCCCGTTGCGTCGTCCGCGCGCATCGACACCGGCGCTACAGTATATGTCCAGCCGCCGGCGGCGCCGGGTGAAATTAAATACACGCAGATGTGGTAGCTCGAGTTGCAATCTGTACTTGTCGATGAAATCAGAGCGATATCCTAGCTACAGATCAAGTGGACTACAGGAGGAGTACGTACGCTAGTGGTAACTGAGTGAGGTACAGTACGTACATTAGTGGTAACTGAGTGACGATTTATTGTGCTTTCACTTTTTTTCCTTCTGTCTGTGTCAGCTAGCTAACCATCGATCGGTCTTTCGAATAAAAAGCAGCTAATCCTTTGTTTGAAGATGTGAAAGCGAAGTCCCGTTCCGTTCCAGCCTAGCTTGACACTCCCCGTCCCAGCTCCTGACAAATGTGGCATAGGATTCCCCAATTCGACAGCGACGCACGCACATTGAGGAGGCCGCTAGCTCTTCCTCTATGCGTGGCTCCATCGCACGGCGAGCGATTGGGTCGTGGTACGTACTCCACCGAGGTAGGAGTAGTATCACCGTATCAGCGCGCAGCGCACGTACGTACATGCATCCGCTCGCCGCTCGCAGGCACATGCATTGCTGGCTGTAAAGTGGCCGGCGTGCACCGTGGGGTATCCGCGACGTGTCGCGGGCTTATTCGTTAGTTGCCCCAGGCCTTTGGGTGAAAACTGTTCGCTCTTTTCTTTTCTTTGTTTTTGTTTTTTTATCTGTAATACTCCTACACGGCCACACGGGTGTAAATCAAGGTTGTCAGTATCCCGATACGTATCCTAATACCTTACGATACTACGATCCTACTAAATCGAAACGATACCGATCCCATCTAGTATCTTAATTTTCATAATTTCTCGATCCTACTATTCATTACTACACGATCCTACGAAATCTTAGGTGGTATCCCGATTCGATCCCTACGATACTACAAAATATTATTTAAAATAATATGGTTTGAAAATAATGTAAATAAATATGCTCAATTTCTTATAAAAATTAGTTGAATATATTAAAACCAACGTGGTTTCTCTTGATAAATGTCTCTATTTGCATGGAATATATCATTACTATATTTTTGTAATATAGAATAGCTATATATAATTAATATAAATATTAATTAAACTTAAAAAAAGAAAATCTCATAGTATCCCGATACTACAATACGATCTTACGATACGATATTACTTTGAGAAAAAACGATATTATCTAGTATTCCGATCCTGACAACATTGGTCTGCTTGCTACCATCACGGAGTGAAAAAAAAAGAATAAAAACGTACTCGTAAATATCATGATTGCTTCATTGCTAGTAGGCGGATGAAACAGTGGGAGGGTTCTGATGCAGCGGCTGCGGCGCTGCGCCGTGCGGGGTATGTGGCAGGCAAGCGAACAACTGAACAGGGCAAGCCCCACCGGCGCTGTTCCGGCGACCCGGCCGCCGGGCCCTGTGGGTGGAGGGCACGTGACCTGGCCCCAGCTTAAGTACGTCCGCGTGGAGCATTTAACACCCACGCGACTGCTGCTGCCCCCCCTGGGCCGGGCCGCTCACAACGCCCCCTGGTGGGCCCGCACGCTGAGGCTCCGGCCCCCAGGCCCCGTCGCCTTGGGCCCAAGCAGGATGCCAGCATAGGATTGGACAGGTGATGTACACGGTAAGAGCGATAAATTCTGAGCGAGAAGGGAACGCGGCATTAGACGAATGTGGTGAGTGTTTGGGTTAAAAAGGTACTAGATCGATCCGAGTTTGGTTCACGACGACGCTAGCCAAAGCTATTAAGCGGGTACGCGCGCACGATGTATAATGCAGCATATTGTTATACTCTGCTGCTACATATAGCTGCAGATCGATGCCCTGGATCTCGAATACGTGCGTGGGGTTCACGACCGTGTGGAGCTCGAGCAACGCTACAACAGAGGTAGCTGTGCCTGTGTATGTATGTGTTATACGCCCTGTTACGTTTGTCTGGATCTCGATCGTCGCGTGGGCGGATGTACTGTGAGGCTGGGCGGTTTTCGGTTTTCAGGTGGACGACGCAGGCAGGAGGCAGAGCGGCTCGCGTAGATCTGGGAAATGATTGGCCGAGCGTCCTGCTCGGAGTTGGGCACCGGCAGCGGCTGGTAGCTAGCTTTGGTTCCATGCCGCCAACCAATCCTGCAACGAGTCCATCCAACTCTCTTCTCAAACGCCCCCGATCGACGAGGCGTTTTGTTCTGTCACCTGCACAGCTGCGCTGCTGGCCTGCGGGGTCGGGGCCGATCGGGGCATGTGTGTACGTGAGCCCCGTTTCGCGTCGTCGTCGACACCGATCGAGATGAGCAGCAGCAATAGCGAGAGCATGCAGCAGATGCATGCGTAGCTAAGCTAGCTAACTTTTGGCAGGCAGGCAGTACAGGCCGGACCGCGGGAGTCAGGGAGGAGAGTGATGCTGAGTAGTATAGTGAGTATGTGGTCCAGCTGCGTGCGTGACATGTCAAGTTGTTTCAGCAGTGCAACCACTGTGCAAGCAGCTGGACCAGTACACATACAGACAGGCATGTTAGACGCCAATGTTACGAAGAAAATATCGTCGATTGATGATCCAAAGTTTAGCGCTGGTTTACCACCATGTTCGCGCGCATCTACGCATGCAGAGAGTAGCGTGTGCAACAGCGACAGCGCCCGCTTAATTTGTCCCTTGGTACGTACTCCTGCATCATGCGTGCACTGCTCCACCAGCTGATTGCACAATGGAGAGGCAAACAGAAAATAAAGCGGGTTTTAGACCGTGGTTTTTGTTCTCTTCTCCCAGATGAACCCAGCCTGAACCTGTGACTGCTCCATAGTTTCACCATGCAGCTGGCATTTGGGCTCCCAGTCCCAATTGGCCTTCTCATGGCGCGACACATAGGCATGGCCACCTAATCGATCCATCAAGAGATCCCTTAGCTTCAAACTTACTACCTTCCCTTCTTTCAACTGTAAAGTTGCTTCCATGATGCTGGCTACTGGTCTCCACTGCTTTAATGGGTTCTATTCCAGCTTTTTCCCAACCATACATATACTATACACTTATACAGTACCCGGCTTTTGAATGGACGCATTTGCATCTGGATCAACCAATGCAAAGTCTGCTCAGGAGCAATGCTGACCAATCAGCCAATCGCCCGTGAACAATTTTAGTGAGAAAAGATGAAACCGGGATCTTATCCTTACCATAATTATTGCAGCTTTATAAAGATCATACCAATCCAATAACCTAATCAGTATCCCTCTCTAAAGGCAAAAGGGAAGGTGAGATCTTGATCAGGATGGTCAATCACCCAATGATATTGCTGGTTACAAGGCAATTAGGGAGGGCATGATCAACATGATTATGATGACCTGTTTTGAGCCACAAGAATCCATGGCCGCTATCAGGACGTCTGTAAAGGAGACTACATAACCATATCAAGACTTTAACTTTATCCCACTTTGAAGAAAGAGAGTGTGAGAGAAAAATAATTACAACTGGATTATCAAATGACTCATGCATGTTGAACATGAGTTGAGTTTTGAATTATTTGTAGCAGGTTACAGAAGTCTGATATAAGTCTCAAAGTGGATTACAGCTGAATTTAATGATTAAGCATGGTAAAGATTGCCACAAGATCCAAGGCTAAAGGGAGTAAGTGCAAGAAAGTATATGGTACTGGTCCAATTGACGGCTCATGTGCATCTGTGGCCAGATCTAGATAGGTACAAAATACAAATGTACAATGGTACACAGAACTGAGAAAGGTGGGCAGATTGTCCTAGATGATGGATTTTGACCTGTCAAGTAGTAGATGCCTTCCCGTTGCTTTATGCGTTTTGATTGGGTCATGACTCATGAGACATTTCAAGATCTACACACAGATTTTCTTTACAAGCTATATATTTTTCGTTCATGAATAATACTACTAAAAACATTTTTATGTGCCCGCTTAGAACACATGGATTTCCAATGAAATAATTCAGTTCGTCATGGGGCAGAAAAATCCCAGCGGTTTGTCAATGCGAGAATTGTGCCGATGCAAATTGGATGGCCAGGAATTCTTACACGGTGTGAGTTAGAATCGCAAACCTAAATTTATCAGTTATATGTATTTAGAGTTGTGTATACTTTACACTTGTATTACAGTCGGTGGCCAGCTAGGCTTGCCAACTAGTGCAATCGTGTAAAGTTCGCCACTCTGTCAATATGTACCTGCTGCCCAACAAATGTTAAGGGCCTATTTGGTTTGATTGTCACGGTGACCATGGAAAAATGTTGGCAAAGAAATCAGAGTTTCAGGGACAACTTGGTTTGATACTAAATTATGCTAAGTCATTCGCCTTTTTTTTTCATCCATTTTTCAGATCCAAAAATGGCCAAGACATGGGCAGTCAACTTGGCCCCTGATTTTGGTTTCCCAACATTTCGCCTAGCTTTCTTGGGCTTCCTTGGAGCCAAACTAAGGGCCTGTTTGGTATAGCTCCAACTCCTAAATTTAACTCCAGGAGTTGGGTCTAGAGTGGAGTTATGGAGCTGCCTAAACCCAGCTCCACAACTCTAGTTCATTTTGTGAGAAACCTCCACCCAGCTCCACTCTCAGTTTTGGTGGAGCTAAAACTGTTTGGCTGAGCTCCAGCTCCAGGAGGGGTGGAGCTGGAGTGTAGCTGAAGCTGGAGCTGTGCCAAACAGACCCCAAATTATCTTAAGCTGTAGTAGTACTTGTCTGGGACTATTTAATCACAGGATGCCTATAAGCAAAGTCTGGGCTAGGCTGGTAAAAGAGGCCCAGTTCGGTTCGGGCCTAAAATATCTGCCAAAATCTGGGCCGGTACGGTGAACTGGGCCTACCGTTTTTAATCCATTCTCCGGCCCAGCTAACTTCAACAACACAAAGCCCAACCGCTGTACCAAGTGATATCATTATCAATTTATCATGACAATGTTCGTTAATCCCTTTTTTTAGATAATGGAGATATCACTGAGCAATGGTTAATCCGTTCTGAATTCTGATAGACATAGAGGCTGCAACTGCCAGAGAGGCTAATCTGCAAATGCAGAGTTGCTGGGCTGTTTCTTTCCACCTACGATTTAGGACAGGCTACAACACTGATCTTAGTCCACCTGTCCCCTTGTTGCTTCGAGGTCTCCAGCTGCCGCTGCATTCTGATATGCCTGTGAGTGACATCAACAGCAACAATCAAGCAGAGAATGGGCCATGCCTCGTGGTGTTTTGCTTAACCATATGTCTGCAAAAAAAAAAAAAAGTTGGGGTTTTGAGTTTTTACCTCGCGGCTCAGCTTGATGCGCAGGTTGGCTTGCGAGGAGGGAGCTGGTGATGAGGCGTTCTCTGAAGATAAAAAAAGGAGAGTAAAAATAAATAACTAGTATTTTTCTTTTAAAATTTCACAGCCAACAATTCTGGAACAGTCATTGTTTTACTGAACCTTGAGCTTGGGCTTGAGAGTCTCAACCGCGGCCTTTGAACCGTTGCTGTTTGCAGCTTGCTGAAGGAACTCCAGGATACAGGGTTAGATTCAGTCTGATGACATGCATGCCTGAATATTGGACTGATGATTTGTCATTTACCTTGCCAAGAACCCAGTCTGCGGAATCAAAGTAGGCGCGCTCATGGTCCTGCATTAGCACCAGGCCATGCAGCCAAAGGAATAGCTCAGATTCGCTTTCAGATATTTATCATATACTAGTACTGGATAGTCTAGATGCTGCATTTTTTTGAACTAACTACTATTACCAAAACTTGCACTCCCATCAGACTACATACTAGTACTACAAGATATCGGTATGTTCTTTATCTAGTGAGTTGAATAAAAACTGAAAACTTGATACAGCAATAAATAGGATTTGAACACTATGAAACTGTAAGACTGACAAATGGCTACAAAATTTCAGAAACTGTATACCTTTGAAATCAGAGGCTTCTTTGGTGCAATCCCTCCATACTTCTTCTCAATGCACGCCTGCAATTCAAGATCACACTCTTTCACAAACCCCAAACACGTGCAGAACAAAGAGAACACCCCCCCAAAAAAATCCCATCTTGCTCTGACTGAAAGCAGCCGGAAACACTGAACTTTACTCCGGTGTACTAAGTGTACCAGAGATGAGGCTTATCCGTTCGCTCAAGAGGCCAAGAGGGTCAGGAGGACACTTCACTTCTCAATGCCGGTGCAGTGCAGACACAGACGCGGGCTTGTCCACTTGTCCAGTGAACCGAACGACGTGACAAACACACACACAAAAGCACACGCTAGAATGGTTTCGCGGCCGCAACACGAGATTGGACGAGACCGATCACGTAATCATGCCGCATCCGCATGGACGGCCGTCCCTTTCGATCGCCTCAACCAAGCGGAGGAGGAGGGGAGGGATCACGCTTATGAGACCCAACAAAATCTGCACAGCGTTTTGCACACCACCACCATCGTGTGGCTGCTCTTGATCCACCCAAAAGCAACATGTGACCGATCGATCTAGCGATGGCGATCCCCTAACAACGGAGCCGTGACAACGACACGATTCCTGAAGCCGTTGAGCGCCCCCGGTTCTGTTCCTACCTTCGCTACTGCTATCTCTCACGCATTGCCCATGCAGTATTGCAGTCATGCAGATGCTGGTTAGTTGCAGTGTTGCAGAGGTGAGATTCGCAGGATCGGTGAAAGAAAAAAAAAAGCAGTGGAGAAAAATGCAGGTGTTAAGTAGTAGTAGTAGTGGTCAGTCATCTGTGTTCAGAGCCTCAGAGAGTGCTTGCAGTCAAATAGATTCTTGGGTTGGAAAGGAGATTAAGATCAGGTTGAAAGTTTAGTTTGCCTTTTTCGTCATTCATTCCTTGCTGGTAATTAATTAGTTTTGGTGTGTGCGGCTAAAGTGATTTCTTCTAGATGCATATAAATCTAAAGTAGTGCGGGTAAAGGGTAGTAATTGATAGTGCAGAATCTTTAATTGCTCACAGGTTTTGGAGAGTTGGTGTTGAGGACAAGTTAATTTTGGTGCACGTTAGGTAATGTTCTGGTGGTTACTTTCTTTAAACAGATTAAAAATTATTAACTAGTTAATTAAGTTCCTAGTTAAGATAGAATTAAGACAACGGCAAAGGAACAATGGTGACACAACAAAAAACTGAAGGTGATCTTTACTGACGAATTAAGCACAGTTGGGGTATTAATTCTGAAGGCAAGACTGTTCTCATTTTCCATTAGACAGAAAAGAGAGACAAAATAACTCTACAGGCTCAGGGTCACACTTACCTCTTCCTCCATTGAAGCCAACGACTTAGCTTCATCACAGCCTGCCATCTCCTGTACTCCTCTCTCTGTCTTCTCTGCAAGAAACAACACCACAACTTTCAGTTCCTGACTAAAAACATAAAAGATTAAACAAGATGGTGAAGCATTTTGGCCTGAAAAGGAGAAGGAAACAAGTGCAGGAACTTCTTGCAGAGGTACACAAATGCTGTAAGAGATGAAAATTTCAAGCTTTGGGTGATTAAGAGAGACAAAGAGTTAACCTTGTGTGCTCCTTCGTCAGGGAAGATGGAGAGGAGGTTATGAAAGGCAAGGAGAAATGAAGTGTGGGCAGAGCTGAACCTGATATTTATAGAGAGCTTGTACGGGAAACCAACGAAGGCCCGGTGCACAAGATACATGCTTACTGTATGTTAGTACAAGATATGCATATATTACTCACGTTTCTAATCCAGACAAAAGTATCTTTTCTTTATGACGCTAGGAGCAAATCTAAAGCTGGCACTATTCCTCAATCAATGGATAGATAGGGAAGTCATCACACATCCCATCCAAAAGTTTGAGTTGATGAATAGGGGCGGAAAATTCACTATATACTTTAAGCAAGCTGCAAGCCTAATATATATGTGCAAGTTTTATAGGGTTTTAGGTGTGAAATACTCCTTTCGTCATAAAATATAGACGACATGGAGGGTCTATAAGTTAATTCTACTCCCTCTGTCCCATAATATAAGGGATTTTGAGTTTTTGTTTGTACCGTTTGACCACTTGTCTTATTTAAAAAAATTAGAATTATTTTTTTTTGTGACTTACTTTATTATCCAAAGTACTTTAAGCACAATTTTTTATTTTTTATATTTGCACAAATTTTTTAAATAAGACGAGTGGTCAAACAGTGTAATCAAAAACTCAAAATCCCTTATATTATAGGACGGAGGGAGTAATTTTTTTAATTGCATCAGCTAGAATTCAAACTTAAAACCTTTTTGGCTCTAATACAGTATTGAGTCGTATGTACTAGTTAGTTTGTTTGAAAGTTGCGGATACACGGTTAAGAATGGACTACCCTTCGATTGTAAAAATTTACAATCCATCATTTAGCCTTCAGTTTTTAAGCACAAGAAAGAATTTGAATTTTAAATCCCTTCCATTGTGGAAATTTACAACCCATTGTTTAGCCTTTTGTTTATAAATGCAAGCAACAATTTGAATTTTAAAACATAATTTTAGAGTCGATTTCGGGTTTTTTTTCATTGTATTTTGTTTTCTAGCATTTCTTTTAAATTACTAAGAACACATATAAATATTTCAAAATTATTTTTTTAATAATAATCCATTTTGCTGATAATAAGTATAAGCATAATGACGTGGTTGTTATATACCTTGTGTTTTAATAATTTATTATGTAGCGGTCATGTTATTAAAAATCACACAATTGAGTAGTCTTTAACCATCAAAAGCAAATTTATTTTTCCTAAAAAAAATGTTCCTAAAAGATTGTCTTTTTAGCTTGAAACATTGTCTACAAAATTAGAGTGAAGTCTAAATTTGGTTGGGTACATGGAGCTGGATGGGAGATGGTCGTCCAATTTTTATAGTGTTTTGTTAGATGACAGTGTGGGTAAGACGGTCTAGAAAAAAAAATTCTTTCAATATCCTCCATCGTCCTTGTCTCATCCTCCTCCTTTTTTCCCCTCCTTGTTTTCTTCCCATATTAAAGAAGGGTATAGTCTCTTGCATGCTTTTTGCGCAAGATTGCTTGGTCTCGCACTCTCCCCACGCGAGACCGCTCGGTCTCGCGCCGTCCCCATGCGAGAGCGATCGCGTCGCCATGTCCACATTACTTTCGTGCAACGGTTCAGCGATACCGACGGTATATTTATGCTAAAAAAATTGCATCCATAATATTTTTGAGAAAAAATGAACAATATATTTTCAAATTTAGTTCCAAAAATGGCTTGTTTTCATGACTGGATAGAATAATGGCGTGTTTGAGACGAGGGAAAAGAACTAGATTGAGAAGATCCATACGCAAACTAAACAAGATGAGCTATTAGCGCATGATTAATTGTGTATTAATTATTTCAATCTTCATGTGATTTTTAAAATAACTTTGTGTTGAGAAATACGTAACGTTTAGTAATTTGAAAAGCATACTCGTGAAAACAACTTTTTTTCTCTTTCTCATAAGAACGAACTCAGCTTAATATAATATTTTTTTAAGCTTATGAACTTATGAATTATGCGTACATGGTTCACCTTAGGGGGTAATATGAACGGTTTTGCAAAGTTTAGGGAGCTGGATGTCCAGTTTTAAAGTTTAGGGTGCTAGATGAACTTCTATCTAAAGTTTAGGGGGTACTTGGACTTTTTCGTTTTATAAACGTGGTTAACTAATGTGTGCAAGTTTGTTATATGAGAGATTTGGCGAGAGACATGTGAGATCGTTACAGATCTAATCAACGAGACATGAAGATTTTTGTGAGATGTGAAATCTAGGCGTGCGCACGCCAGGTGGATCTAATAGCGGACAAGAATATATGGGTCAAGCCAACAATTAGAACACCTGTAAAGCTATAAAATGACCTGATTCTAGTAAAAACCCTATATCAATACTACTCCCTCCATCCTATAAAAAACCAACCTAGTATCGGATATAACACATTCTAATACTACAAATTTAGACATACATTTATCTAAATTTATTGTACTAGAATGTGTTATATCTAATCCTAGATTTGTTTTTTTTATGGAGGGAGTACTAATTAAGTAGATGTGGTTATGTATGGGTCGACTAGACATGAGTCTACTTAAATGCTCAGAAATATCAGTTGATTGATTGGATTCATTTCGAATGGTTGTCTATCATTCTAACCTCAAGACTACGAAATGAGAAACATGTTCTTTATTCTCTCTTTCTCATGTCCTGTGCTCATATGATTTTACGGCATTACAGTCCTAATTAAAGACCGGATTCTACATTTCTGGTAGGTGAAATATACAATTTTACGGTTCTTTTATATGATTCTATAAGTGCAATCCTATCTGGAGACCTCTAATCTGGTTCAGGGTCATGATTTTTAAAACCTTGCCTATGCCGAAGAGTTTCCCCTGCTCTTGTTAGCTCAAGCCGCCAGTTGCACAGCCGTTCCCGCTTGCCGCCTCCTCACTCAGTTTCACAACAACTCCAACCCTACCCATTGCTAAACTTTCTCTGTTTCTCACCCATAGCTCAGCTCCGAAGATGCCTCACCGTATTGCCTAAATATTGCCCAGTCCGCCACTGCCTAGAGCTACCTCTAAACCTTGATTAAGGTGGACTCTCTTCCCTTCCCTCCCCCTTTATCTCACTTAGGTGATTAATGTTAGCAAGGTGATGCATAACTTCACCCACTAGAATTTAAATCCTAGTAGCCATTAATATGATCGTGTGCATCCTTAGTTAGTGTAGAGATTGGAAGTTATACTTTCTTTTATTAAAAAAAATGCAAGGGTATATAATACCACAACGAATTAGGAGTTTCTCAATAAGCTTACTGTTCTGTAGTCTATTAGACTTCTCTTCTCCATTGTTTATTTTCAGTTCACCTTTGCCCTAGGATTCCAAAGGCATTCTTCAATCGCTCTCTTCCAAATTCTCTTGCTTTCTTCTACCCTTTCTTCCACCTCACTGTAAATCCAACTCAATGTTTCCTAGCAACTTTGCCCATATGGCTATATCCTCATGGATTCTTGTCTCTGCAGCTTTCATATATATTCTCCCATTATCTAATTCGCGCATGCTTTGTCTCCCCTTATCCGTGCTCCGTGCATGCCGCAGTGTCTCCGGATGGTTGGCTGCTGGAGCTTTGCCTGGTACGCCGACAGGTCAAAATTCTGGTGAGTAGCTATCTTGGTGTGTGTCTTTTATGTGCTCCAAATCTTTTATATATGATCCATATGAAGTTATAAAACGATAGTGTCGGCATACGCTAGGGAGAAATATATGTGTGCATGTTATGTGTTATGGTCATTTTGTTAAGTTGTGCGTTCGCAAAATGAATAAATGATCATTTTTGTTGTGTGGTTTGGTAGGGTAAACCCCTATCAGTCATCCTGGTGTAACCCTATTAACAAGAGCGATTAGCTCTCACAGTTAAATTACACACGCAAAGCAACCGATATGGCGATCTTGGAAGGCAAGCTACATACATCGATCTATCTGCAGAGTAGTTGAAAACTTGAATCGGATAACAACATCAAAAGTCCGTACTCCGTAGCTTAAGCTAGACAGAGAGATACCGATAATGCATCGATTGAGAATGCACAACGTTTGGCATTTCCCCTATTTGTAGGGGAAGATATGTGTACTCAGTACTCCCTTCATACTCGCAAAGAGAGTCATTTAGGACAATATTTAAGTCAAACCTTAGGAATATAAATCATGAATAACTCTAAAGTTGTTGAGTTTGAAAATGTAAAAATCATATGAATAGATTTGTCTTGAAAAATACTTTCATAAAAATATACATATATCACTTTTTAATAAATACTTTTATAAAAATAAGAAGTCAAAGTTGTGTTTAATTTGGAGACCGTGTCGATGTCCTAAACGACTTCCTTTATGAGTATGGGGGGAGTATTAGGTTGAGCAGAACTAGGCATATACAACAACTAAGATGGTTGTTGTCTACACCCTCCATCCCATATTATAAGGGATTTTGGGTGGATATAACACATTCTAGCATTAAGAATTTAGACAGAGCCTTAGTACTAAGAATTTGGACATGGGCCATATCCAGATTCTTAATATTAGGATACGTTATATTCACCTAAAACCCCTTATAATATGATATGGAGGGAGTAATATATTTCTCCGATGGTCTATTGATAGCACTAGACAGTACCCATAAAATAGGCTCTCGTAGCAACTAACAAAATTAATGCGAGTTAATCAAATTCAGATTAGATAATCTATTCAGATTAGATAATCTATCACTTTGTTTCGTTAATTAGGATTAAACTTTGATCAATAATTGCTTTATTAGGATATTTAAGTGATAAAAACATAATCGGTGCTCTTAATAGAGTAATGGTTGGTCAAAGTTTAGCCTAATAAGACAAAATATGACCTACTTCCTCCGAAAAAAAAAAGACAACCTAGGAAGAGATGTGGCCCCTCCTAGTACAACGAATCTGGATAATCCTCTGTCCAGATTCATTGTACTCCTTTTTTTTTTGAGACGGAGGAAGTATATTTTTTGGATGAGAGAGTACATTATAAACATAGCTATAAAATAAGCTATGACATTTATTATGGAGACCTATAATTCCTGACGGTAATTGTGAAAAAGAAAAAAATATTTGCACCATTAGATCATGATGGGTCTAGATTATAATGGCATATATTGATTAATAAGTTATATATAAATACAAAAG